TAATGTTTTCAGTAAAATTATTAATAGAAAAATTTGAATATCATATAAAATTCAATTTACACAAAAATAGTACTAATTATAAAAATTGACGCCTAGACGACACGCCTGATTTACATTTGTTCCAATTTTATTTGTAGTATGTGATTCAACGCATTGCTTCATGTTTTAATCATGAAAATTTATGAGAGAAATTATAACAATGGGTACCGAAAAGACACAAATAGAACATGAATAATATTTAGCATTGCCTAAGTTTATTAATTGACTGATCATTTTTTTATTAGGGCAACCATATTCACAAAAAGAATAAGTAGTTTAATTTTTGTACATAAAGTATATTAAAAAAATCAATTTTTGTATGTATCACTATTAAATGATTCATTAATACATAAAAAAATGGTTAAAAATAATCAGTTGAAAAATAAAAATAAAAACTAGGTATAATGGTGTATGTCTTAATAGACGTTAAAAAAAATCAATTTTTATTAGCCTGCCCATAGGGTTCCAGACTTTTCTTTAATTAAATGGGGATTGTGTATTCCTAAAGAATGCACAACAGAGGATGTAGAAATATTGTTAAAAAACGCTTTTAATTTACAAACAAAAGTTAAAAATTCTATGTGTCAAAATGCTGCTGAAAAAGAAATGATTTTAACATTTGGAGATTATCTTGCAAGGTAATTAAAAACAAAGTTATATCTCATGTAAACGAAACTAAAATATATTACTTATTAATTGCAGAGGCTTTTTTATTGCATTACTTTTAATGATATCTTCCGGAACGTTTATCGAATATATTTCAAAAGTACCGAAAGACAATGATGGTAAGAGTCAGCTATATGATTTACTGATTTACAACTACATTTTGTATATTATTTTACGTTTGCCTTGTAATATTAAATTATGCATTTTAAAGGTATTATATGGAAAGTATTAAGATGTTTTGCTATCCAGAAAAACTGGAATCAACTGTTCGCTGTGGAAAATAAAAAAATTCGTGGTGTTGATGGTATAAGAGCATTAAGTGCTCTAGGGTTGATAATGTCGCACAAAAATGTTGCAATGTTGTACAATCCATACATAAACAGAACAAGTGCAGTTGAGGTACATATTAAACAAAATAAATGTGAAGCTGTTTATTCACAGCATCTTATACAGTCATTTAACAATTACATGCAGGATTTAATCAACTAATTTATTTAGGGCCTTGGGAAAGCATGGTCTGTTATAGGTAGGACTGCTATTATTTACACTGATTCTTTCATGTTAATAAGTGGACTACTAAACTCGAAATCCCTTTTTGAAGAATTGGAGAAGGAAAATACTCTCGATTTTAAAAAACGAATAATAAGCAGAATCATAAGGTAATTTATAGCAATTTTGATATCATAAAAATACTAAAAGTTGGTTTTACAACTTTCGATTAATTTACATTGGGTTACCTTTCACGTACAAATTTCCAAAACTTTCGGTATGCACCTTGTTGTTCAGTTGAAACTTTTCATTTGACCTGCGTATAGAAATATCACCTGGCGCCATCTAGCACTAGTATCCAAAAGCATACCTGCGGTACCTAGTGCCGAAATGCCAAACATGACTTTTGAACTAGTTTGCAATCTATACAATAAAGGTACAGTTTCACTACTACTCGTGCGATGGCGCACCCAGTTTCTCTATACATGAGTTACACGAAAAGTTTTAGCAGTAATATAAGGTGCATACAAAAAGTTTCCACAGTATGACGCAAAATGTAGAAATTTTCAACAAAAAGCGTACTTAATGCATCACCAAGAGCCTGTTACTAAATTTGGATATCGTAATAAAAATTAGCAAAAGAAAATTACGCATATAACAATAAACTGCAAAAAAATTAATTACCGACTTATTAACTACCTTTTATTTCAAATTCTATAAGAAATTATTCTAATTTGGTTATTATAGCGATTATCTTTTGATATGTACATGTAAGTTAAATAAACCAAACAAGATAGATACTAAAATTGGAAAGAGTCAATTATAAAGTTACATATAAATTGTTTGGAGGAATATCTCGTAAGAAACCATAAAAATACGTATTTTGTTTCCTGAGAAACCTTTACCATTGCATAATTGAATGGTACAATTGATGTGCTTAAAAAAAAATTAAAAAATTATAACAAAACTTACGCTTTTCGCTTTAAAAAACCTGATTAAGGATCCAGATGTAGTATCAGAAGGTAATTGCGGTTTAAAAAGTGATTTTGATCTTAGTCTGGATTTTGATTTCCAAATTCAGCTCAAAGTATTGCGGATTTATTTGTATTAGTCGTGAAATTATGAGGTTAGTCAAATATTTAAATAGCATCCAGGTCGAGAAATATCAATGAACAACACTGTAATTAATAAAATACACTGTAATATTCATTTAATTCTAGAGGGAACATTAATTTTTAAAGATACATATCGTATGAAGAAATCCCTCAAAATAAACCACAAAAATACATACTTTGTTCTTTAATAAACCTTTCTGATCGTCATAACTATGAATACAAGTGACATGTTTCAAAATAAAAAAAAAATGATAAGAAATAAACAACTTACACTTTCTCACTCGCTGTCAGAAGCTCTGTTAGATCCATTATCAGATCCAGACCCTGATCCAGACTTGGACTCATTATCAGATGGAGAACGGGATCCCGATTGGGATCTCGACCTCGATCCTGACGGTGACCTGCTCTGAGAACGCGATTTAGATCTAGAAGGCGATCGCGACTTAGAGGGCGATTTTGACCTAGATTTGGATCGTGAAGGGGAGCGTGACCTCGATGGCGACTTTGATTTCGATCTTGATCTGGATTTTGACCTCGAACTTGATCTAGATCTAGATGGAGATCTTGACCCAGATTTTTCTGAATGGTTTGATGATCTCGAAGATGCTCTTGAAGAAGCACGAGACTTTTCCGCGTCACTTTCTGTTACAAAAAATCAAACAAACATTATATTAGTTAAATTCTGTATGAAATTGTCTAGATATTGGACCTCTATTACTACTCCTACTACTACTAATGGAACTTACTTTCATGTTCATTTTCACTTGCTTCATCTTTGTTACTTTGTTTCTCTTGATCAGACTCTGCCTGACTCTCTTCAGCCTGTTCTTCTTGTGTTTCTTCAACTTGATCTTGCTCATATTCTTCATCCTCATCACCTACAATATTTATTTTCAAATTGTAAGATTAAATTATATGATGTACTTTTCAAGGAAACTCTTACCAGGAGGCTCAAGCTGTTTTTCACGATATCTTTGCATTCTAAATTCTTGAGCATCCATAGGTCTATGCTTCACAATAAGTCGTGTATTACTAGTGGCCTGCCCAGCTTTTTGTCTTCTTTTACTCAGTCTTACTCTTGTTTCCAATTCATTGTAATATATACCATCTTGACGTACAACCAAGAAATAGTTTTCTTCATATCCTTTGCTTGCCTTACTTTTAACATTCCAATTATATTCTCTAGCCATTTTGTATTCATATTCCTCATCATCTTGATAAGAAATACCTTGGGCAAAGTCGTTGCGACGTTTCTCCAGCGTTTCTTCAGTGGGCAAAAAGTATGCCACAAACTGTTCTCCACTTTCATCCATGACACCTCTAAAAATATCCATTTTTGTTAAAAAGAAAGTATCACACTTTAATATATTAATATTTTACCGAATCATAGCTTGAGACATCTCTTCAATTTGAGCTGGAATTTGTTTACCAACTGGTGCAGGATCACTATCAAATATAACTTGGGCACAAGGATATTTCCAGAGTTTGAAATCTGGATATACTGGCAATACTTCTACAGGATAAACATTTGGTTTACTGTAGTGTTTTTCGATAGGGATCTTAGAATCTTCAAACGTTTTCTCGATAGCTTTAATCTGGGAATCACGGTCCATATACAAAGTTTCATTCTTAAGGTTCTTTTTAATACTGTAGCCAACTTTGGCCTCGACTTTGTCCATAGTTTGGGGTTGAAATCGTGTCTGCTCAGTTGAAATATATTCAGTTCTACGCAACCAAGACACTGAACGTGCATGATGACGAGATCGTTTCGAGTCCTGTGGTGTAAGAATATCTTCTTCTAAAAGTTTTTCATCAGCTGGATCAAGTATTGCCCCAGGTTCCACGGAATAAATATCTTTATTTATCAGGTCAATATTCACTCCTAAATCGTGTTCTGTAAGCACTTCGTATCTGTAGTTTCGCTCGAGAGAAGTTGGATTGTACTGGATAAAACGAGACGATTCAAAGGGATACGAAATGAATTTCAAGTCGAAAGGAATATCAGGAAGGGTATTGCAATATTTTACGCGGCATATTAATTCGGATCTAAAACAAACAAGTGATTTTTTAATGTATAAACAGAGGAGCTTCATAATGTACCTTTTTTCTCCAGGCTTAACAGGTCTTTTCTCATTTTGATTCGGTACTTGAGGTTGTTGAATTGTTGGAGGCATTTTGTACTTACTATTTCACACAATATTCACTCATTAGTTAATTATTTACGTTAATTTACCCTGTTTCTGATAATAAACTGACGCCAATTCTAACCTCACATTTTTTTGAAGCATTGGATGTGTACACACCATTGTACAGACAAATTCTATATTTAATGTGGCTATAGCACCACATCAGTCTTTTTTTCTATAACACAAAAATGACCATCAGAAGCAAAAAAACAAAAAAAAAGAACAGCCTAACGCACATTCATATAATTTAATTATACATCAATGTTTAATTAAAAAAATAATAATCGAAAATATTTCTATATTTTTTTCAGAATAACGCCAAATTTACTTACAGTTATTTTATTTTGTACCTACATTCTTCCAAAGTTAGGATCGGGGCCATTATGGCCTCTTGTAGTAGGACATCATTCTGCGTTATGCAAGAAATACATGTGGCGAAACTTGCTTTTTATTCACAATTATCTTGGTTTTGAAAATATGGTATGTAGTTTTTTACATATGTTAACAGTTTATCACAGTTTTGATGTCCTTTTTTATTGTAGTGTCTCACTCACACTCATCAACTCGGAATTGATTTTCAATTATACTTGGTTACGCCTTTCCTGATTTATCTTATTTCAAAAAATGCTTTTAAAGGATCATTGATTGTTGTTGGAATAATTTTTGTTTCGACGGTTTTGCGATTTTGGGCAACAATTTATTACGAATTGAGCCATGTCGTATATTTTGGAGTGACGTAAGTACCATTTTTAGGCAACTTAATGTAAAGGAACACTTATATGTACTTTTATCAAAAGTTTTTATAAATATTTTCAGGATCAAAAGAATGTTCGCTACTGCTAACTTTTCATACATTTTGCCTACTCACAGGGCAAGTATTTATTTAATGGGGATGCTGTTGGCCTTTTTTATGTTTAAAACTAATCGCAGATTTAAATTTTCGAAGGTATGTACTACTTTCTATATTTCATTTGAAATTATATATCCAGAAAACAATGGTAGTACCTGAATAGGTTGATGCTGTTATAGATGTTCTTTGAATAACAAGAGACTTTTATGCTACGATCACTGTTACAAAAAAGAAAATACATAATGTTAATTATTTCTAATAGATTTTGTATGAAATCATTCAGATATGTGGACGATTATATATATGGAATAACTCTATCTGTTGGAAATCAGCATTAAATAATTTCTAATTCGAACGTTTCTTTTATATGTTAGTTTAAATAACTATATTAAACTTTTTGGTTTACAATGACAAAAATTTTCGTATGCACCTTGTAATACAGTTGAAACTTCTGTTCCGACCTGCGTATGACAATATACCACTTCGCCATCTTACATGAGTGCTTCTAACCAGTTCTGCGACGTCTGCCGGTCGGATGGAAAATGTTGCGTTTTACGTAGTCAGTCACCTGCTAGATTTATTCATAGTTTAACTATCAGTTACGAGATAGCGCAGTTAGTTATATTTATACACAGGTTAGAACAAAAGTTTTGACACAAATATAAGGTACATACGATAAGTTTCGACAGTTGAAACAAAATGCTATTAAGAAACAACTAAAGAAAGAAATAAGCGTACGGTAATAAATTTCGAAAGAATATGGTAACTAATTTAAGCAGATGAATAAATAAAAATAAAGAGGGAATAATTTTAACGATTTTGTTGAAGTAACACTTTATTAAGCGTAATTTTTTAATGTTTTTATAAATACTGAGATATTTTATTTATTTTGCTTAATTTCTATTATCTTTATTTTATTAATTGTGAGGGTGGGACCTAGATTATTACGAAATTTCAAGTATTACCACTGTAATTGATAACGTAATGTAAGATAGGGGGAAAGGGTTGAAATAATATCTGTTTTGGATGCGATAATACGATGGAAAACGTTGTTAAATGCGATATGTGCATATCATGAGATCTAATCCCTGTGAAATAGTTAGAAGTATACGGACCAATTTAATTTTTATAATTTCGATTATAACATTTAATTGTTTAAATTTCAGTTTCAACTAATTTCGTTTTGGATTTCGGCATTATCTTTAGGGCTCCTTGCTATGCTTGGACCTTATCATATGGCAAGGATCGATTATCAGTATAATGTCGTCGATGCAGCTATTTACGGTTCTTTATCACCCATTGCGTGGGGTGTTTGTTTGGCTTGGGGGGTGATTGTTTCCGACATGGGCTATGCAGGTTTGATCATTGATTTCTTGCTTGGAATATAATGAGCTTTAATTTGATTACATCATTCAATATATTAACATAATTAAAAATATATAATGTTTTCCTGTTATCATCCTAGGATATTTAAAGTAACAAAGTATGAAGCGGCAATTAGGAGAAAAAAAAGTTAAAATAACAGTTACTTTTTAAATTTAAATGGGTATATATCTTATTCATGTTAATTTTATTTCGAAGGTTGGCTAGGAGACTTTTTATCCTGGAGAGGATTCCAATGGTTTTCAAAAATATCATACTCGGTTTACTTAATTCAGTTTCCGGTATTTTTTTATTTTGTTGGAATTCAAAGAAGCAGCGAAGAATACAAACCATACCAAATGGTAATTTATTTATCATTTAATTATTCGTAACTAATTTAAAAACTTTCAGTTGCATTTGTCGGAAACATTAATAATTATTCTGCTTTCAATTTTGCTAACGCTTACAGTCGAAATGCCTTTTCAACAAATTGGACAACTATTATTAAAACGTAATAGTAAAGGTAACATGTAAAAGGTCTGCAATAATTAACAAACCTTTCGTTTTAGGTAATAAGAAGAAATGCGTAGTGAAAGGTAACGATTTAATTACTAGGAAAGTTAAATCTGGGTAATATATAACTTGTTTAAATTTATTATATGTAGATATATTCTGTGATAATGTATTCAAATTAATATAAAATATATAGAAATTATGTTTTTAATTTTTTGTTCCTTAAAACCTTGTATGATCTGAAAACAATTAAATCGTTGCCGGTCAGTTCTAGTGTCTTCAAATATAATTTATTATTATTAATTTTAAGGAGCACAGAGCCTCGTTGTAGTTTTCAAAATAGTTAAAGTAATATATTTAATTCTTCCTTTATAGAAATTTTGTTTGCGTTGGAAAAATTAGCGAAAATGATTTTAAAAAGTTGTTCTGGATATTTAGTAAAACTTTATGATACATTGGATAAAAAGTTACAACCTGCTATACTTTTCCCTCACTTATTTTACTACCCTCATCATCATCATCATAAGGCCGTCAGTTCTAAGACTAGTTGGACATACACCTTCACTCTTTCCTATCCTAAGCTAATCTTCGCATTTCCCTAAAACTAGAACATCCCACATCTTTAACTATTTGTGAACAGTAATCTCGTGTTTCTGCCTCCAATATGTCTCTGCTTAAATATGCGATCCCTAACATCTTGTCCTGCATGTTTTAGAATTTCCCTTCTTATCCCATCTACACCTGGCGCCTTATTGTTCTTTAAGTTTTTTAATGCTACATCGAACTCTTCTCTCATTATGGGATAACCTAGCTCATCTATCTCCAAACTATCTTCCTTATCTAATATATCTCATGGCCTGCATATAGGTTCTCTAAATATTTTTTTCCACCTACCTGCCTTTTCATCATTTTCTATTAAAATGACCCCTGCCTCATTTCTTATATTATTACTATTCTACGCTACTTCTCTAGAATTCCTTTTAATTATATTATAAGCCTCATCGGTTTCATCTACTTCAAATTTTTCTTCTACTTCTTTACACCTTATATCAATCCACTGTTCCTTAGCTACCCTACAAATTATCGCCTTATATCTTTTCTGCCCTTCTTCATCTGTCCTGTTTTTGTATACCCGCCTTTCTTCTATTAGTGCTACAATCTCGTTTGTTATCTAGGGTTCCTACTTTCGTTTTGTNTCTCGTCGATTATCGTTTCGACGTCATTTTTATTGCCTTCCAGCAAAGACACGAAAGGCATACTTTTATTCTTTAATTCGTCATTTGCAATCGTTCGCGACGACTGTTCTGTTTTATATTGCTTCCAGTGGCATTAATTTCTTTTTTAATGCGCTGCAAATTGAAAACTACACGACCCTGTGATGCCGGTGCTTAATTTTTCAATACGTTAACCACGAATTTAACTATGACATAATCTAATTACCAATTATTTTTCATGTTTACAGCATTAATCACCGGGTAACGTTTCCTTCCAAGTATTACGTTGATAATGCTCACATAAGAAACACGCTTTCGCTCAATAAAGTTTGTTGTAGTTAGTAATGAGCGAAATTGGTCTTCCATTTTCGCAAGACTGTCTTTATTCTAACAGGGTCAAGACCAAGACCGAACAAACAAGACCAAAACGAGATCCAAGACCGAACGAGCCAGACCAAGACAGAACAAGCAAGACCAATATTAAAACCAAAACCGAATATGGAAAATCATGACCAAATACTGACTCCCTTCCTAATATTTACTTCTCTACGTTGAAGCCCCAGCTCTACAATTGCCTGTTGCTCTTTATACAAATTAAGTATCACTCTTCTATCTTTGTAACTCATCCCTACTACATTTTTAAGTATATTTAACATCTTGTCCCATTTGACATTATGAAGAGCATTTTCTAAATCTACAAATCCTTTGTACGCACTCTTTCCTTTTTCTATCGTTTTCTCTATTGCTACCCGTAAAGCTAGAATTGCTTCCAGCCTTCCTCTATTTCTCCCAAACCCAAATTGATCTTCCCCTAATAGTTCTTCCGCCCTTTTTTCCATCCTCCTCTGTACAATTCTAGTTATGATTTTTGACACATGGGAATCACAATTGTTCTAAATGTCTCGCGCCTATCCGCTCTTCTCTTTTTAAATACGATTACTACCACGATCCGTTTATAATCCTCTAGGATTTCCCCTGTCTCGTAAATGTGCCAACTAGCTTAAACGTACCATGTCTAATCTCTTGTCCTGCATGTTTTAGAATTTCCCCCTGCATCCCATCTATACCTGACGTCTTATTGTTCTTTAAGTTTTTTAATGCTACATCGAACTCTTCTCTCATTATGGGATAACCTAGCTCATCTATCTCCACACTATCTTCCTTATCTAATATATCTCATGGCCTGCATATAGGTTCTCTAA